ATAACATTAACATAGCAACCTTGCTACTTAGAAATTTTGTGGTTAATTTGAAGTATTTTCAAAATTAAACAGTTAATAAAATTTGTGAGTAAAATAAGTGTGTGTGAAAAATCAATGAGATTTGTACATAGGAAAATTTTAAGATAAATGTAAAATATAGTTAATTCATATAGGAAAATAGAAGAAAGTTATAGTAAGAAAAATAAATTATTTCTATCTAAATAAAATAGTGAATATATATAATTCAAATTATAATTTATGATAATATTATTTAAGCGTTAAAGAAAATATAGAATTAAATTAAAATAAAAATTTCTAATGAAATTTTATTAGGTTGTTTAATTACTATTAATTTTAATATTATTTTATCTAAGTTTGTAAGTTTGTAAATATGTAATATGTCATTGTCACATTTTGGTGATTTACTAACAAGTCATCATGTAATCTCCACAAATCACAATGTAGAGGAAAGATACAAGTGTCAGCTGAAAAGTTCATAGGCTAACCAAAATACTCCATGGACCAAAACCAGCTTATTTTTCAACATTGTCCTCCCTGTATTCTTCCATCAGTATTGCAGTGCTTGTATTCCATTGGTGAAAAAGCTTTTCTTCCTATTGGTAAAAAAAGTCATCAACAGCAGATATGATGTCATTATCACTGCATACTAGTAACCAGCCAAGTGTTTTTTCATGTTATGGAACAGATGATTGTCAGACGGGGCCAAATTGAGAGAATAAGAATAGGTTCAAAGCCACAGTCACACGTATCAGTCATTGAAACCAAGAACTTGTATGCTGGAATATTGTCCTAATGAAACAAGACACCTTTCATTAGATTTCCAGGGCTTTTGGTCTTGATAACCTTTCATAACTGCTTCAGCAAGTTGGCATAGTATTTTCCATTGTTAGTGTGGACCTTTTGAATAAAGTTGGCTCTCTGTGCCGCGCCAGGAAATTTTTCTCCTCTGAATTGATACTTCAAATATACAAAACAACCATTCGCCCTTGCATGGAGTATTGCTGCCATATATGGGCTGGAGCACCTTCTGCTTACCTCGGAGTTCTTGACGGATATGTAATCTAATTGGCCCTGATCTAGCGTCTTGTCTGCAGTCACTCTCTCACAGACGCGCCGTCGCCTCTCTCTGTCTTTTCTACAAATACTTCCATGGTAACTGCTCTGATGAGCTGCTCTCTCTGGTTCCCAGACTCCATGAATTCAAGCGCCCTATGAGGCTGGCATCCCGCTCTCACCCCTACACCGTAGAAACCTTCAAATGTAGCCGTCACTTCTACTCCAATAGCTTCATACCTCGCACCTCTCGCCAGTGGAACACCCTCCCCAATTACTGTTTCCCTGAAAGCTATAATCTCCAACTATTCAAATGTAATGTCAATCGACATCTCCAGTTACCTTGATCTACCCACTATCCTTCTCCTCTTCCTTTCTCCTATCACTCTTATCTGGATTTAGTTTTAATGGCTATATTTTGAGTTATTTTGAGGGAAAAATAAATTAACTCTGTTATATATGCTGCAGACAGGCTACTTTTCATTGTGTCAAAGTGTCATTTTGTCAGTGTTGTCCCATGAAGAGATATAATTAAATATTTGAAGAAATGTGAGGGGTGTACTCACTTTTGTGATACACTGTATATAAACATGTATATGAAGCCCTATGTAGTGGGTAAATGAAATACATCCACACACACATGTATATATGTGGATTTATTTATTTATCTTCATATATAAATGAAATTTATGCTTATATATATAGTTATATTTATACCAATATATCTGCAGTGAAATGCAGAAAATCTGCAGTTAAGTGAGTTGAACAATTATGAAAATGTTTGTTTATGAAACTCTGGAGTTATATGCTACCATAAATAAATCCAAAATTTCAAAATTAATCAGTTTGTCTGATGATCACAAAGAGCAGGAAACCCAGAGTCACAAACTCACATCAATCCAACTAAATATGTTAGCTCTATCACTCATATTGAGTGCTTTTCAATAAGTACCATGCATATATAATATATAAATAATATATATAAAATTGCTTATATATATATATATATATATATATATATATATATATATATATTTATATATATACATATATATATATACATATTGGAGAAAATGATATATCAGTTTTTATATAACCAAACATAGTTAGGAAAATTAATTAATTAGTGTGCATGTGTAGTTGTATCAATATAAATAGAATTTTAGTCCTATGAAGTCCTAAAGAATGAAACATATCACATAAAAAGAATTTTCTATATCTATATATATAAATTTATACATAAACAAAAACACTTACAGCACCTGGTATTCCCAAGCGGTCATCAGTCAGGTTTCTGTTTCAACCTGAAGTGATCAGATGTCTAGCCACACTGATGAGCTGTGATACAGTAAAACAGTCTGTCTGTGGATGACTATACAAATATATATAGAGAAAGAGAGAGAAAGAGAGGGAGAGATTTATTGGTTTGTTTTTATGACTTATCAACCTTTTAGCAGATTATTTTAAGCCAAAAAATATTTTTAGATTGTAAGAATTTTTGGAGATAATAATTTATACATGCACACACACACACACACACACACACACACACACACACACACACACACACACATGCATACATACATACATATATGCATGCATACACATAGATAGATAGATAGATAGATACTGGACATTGGAATGTGTCCTTTGCTCAATCTGTTCAGTTGTCATATATACAACAAGAAACAATGTATTATTCCAGCATGATAATGTTACTTACCTGATTGCCTTGCTACTTAACATACTTTGACCATGACTATAAGACCAAAATGTGTATGAAACATGATGGGACAATACTTGATTTATTGACAAATTGAAAGACAACTTGAAACGTCTCAACTTTGATCTGAAAGCCTGGGAAGCCCAACCTTCAAACCAAAAGGAGTGATCTAAGACATGTTTCATTAAGTTAAAATGTTTTGAAGACAGTAGACTGAAGCACTGTGATCAGCTTCATCAAGCTCTGAAGCAGAGACACCATCAAAATCCTACTTTAACAAATTTCATCTGTCAGTGTGGCTTTGTCACCTGTAGCAAGGCTGGAATAGTATCACACTTAAGCACAAATGAAATATGTCTTTCCCTTACCTGATTTTCTCTACAATAGCCCCTGCTAGCATGCATAAGTGTAAAACAAAAGGCACCATCCAATGCTGACTCTCATTTATCATTCACAATAGGAGAGTCCACCATATATATATATATATATATATATATATATATATATATATATATATATATGTCCTTTATAAGAATGAGTTCTGTCATTTTCAAAGCCATATATAAATTCTGTGGTACAAAATCTTTTTTATATATATATATATATATATATATATATATATATATATAACCCTGTCACTGGTTTCAGATGTCATTTTCAAACTAGACTCTCACAAGGCAAATGGCGATATTGGGATCACAACTGTTATCCTAAAGAAATGTGCTTCCAAGCTGGCTTCATTTCTCTCTAAACTATACAACAATTGCCTCACTGCTTCCTGCTTTCTAGCTTGTAGGAAGTTCTTTCCTATAGATCTTGTTTTTAAGAACTCTAAAGAACCCTCTAACACCTCAAATTGCCCTATTTGTCTCTTCTCACTATTTGGCAAAGTAATCAAGGCTCTAATCAATGCTGAAGGGGTTAAACATCTTATTTCTCATGACCTCCTCTCAGACAAACAATATGGCTTCCATTTCATCAGATCTACAGCCATCACTGAATTTGTATATCAAGCTCTAGATAAGAATACCTGAGATTAAGCTTTTGCTCTAGATATCTTGAAGGTGTTTGACAGGGTTTCTTATGCTGGCCTTCTATGCAAGCTCCAGGTCTATGGTGTCACAGGACAAATATTTGATTTAATCCAATCATTCCTGTCAAATCATGAAATAAAGGTTGTATTGAATTGGATTACTCCAGATCCTTTCACATGTATGTGGGTATCCCCCAAGGGCTGTCCTTGGTGCTACACTGTTTCTGAACTTCATCGGGCAGTCTGAGGTTGGCTGGTTGATTTTCATTTCAATGCTGATCTACTAGCTCTGAAGTTGGTAAGCCATAACAAAATCATGTATTGAGTAGGTACGGGATCTTGATTACCAAGCCTGAAGTGCACAAGGAATGTTTCTTGTGTTGTTATTACTGATTCATTGTTCTTGACAAATGTTTCCACAATGAATGATGCTTGCCAATCCAATTCATGTTGCTTTTATCAGACCTACAAATGTGTCAAATCATTTTGCAGCACCATATATATATATATATATATATATATATATATATATATAGAGAGAGAGAGAGAGAGAGGAGAGGGTGCTGAAAGTTTCTCAGCATAACTCAGTTTACAAAATCTGACTAAACATCAAATATTTTATTGGAAAGATTTCTTTGTTTGACTGTGAACTTTTCAGCACCATTTTTACATATATAAAATAGATACTTGTACTTGCTTAATATACAGGCACACACACACACATATATATATATGTATATCTATATGTGTGTGTTTATATATATATATATATGTATATCTATATGTGTGTCTGTTTGTGTATATATATATATATATATATATATCATTGTCACATGAATAGAAGTTCACATGCTTGTGAGCATAAGAAGAATAAACTTATATGTGTATTTGACTGAGAATAAGATAGGGGAATGAAGTAGCTGTCAGGCAAGAAAATCCAGATTGACATAAGAGTTTCAGCTTTTCTGATGCAGTCCACTGAACTGTGACGGAACATGAGGCACATACACCACTGAGATTTCTCCACACCTTTTTCTTGATGAATCACTTACTTTTGGGTAAATTGCAGACATCTGAAATAAAAAAAACAAAAAAACCCTTGCCTTTAATTTCAGTAGGCAGGTTGGTGTTTAGCTAAAAAGTTGGATTTACCAGCAGTTTGAAGTAATCATGATTGATGAATCCTTTACACGAGGAGAGGTGGAAGATTTAACTTCCTTATCAAAACTTGATGAACAAGCACTTCTTGAAGAGTTGCAGGCACGCTACCAGAAGAATCTGATTTATGTAAGTAGATTTGGTTTACCATTTTTTTATCATTTAATATTTCTTTTGATTAAAATGTGGTTTATTTTATTCGTCCTGAAGTGCATTCAAAGTCTAGATAATCATGGGTCACTGCAGTTTCTTTAAATTTTATACACTTTACATGCTAGGCCAAATGCTGTTTTTTTTATCTTATATTGGATACTATCATATCAGTCATTAAGCAGACCGGGTGGATTAATGCTTTTTACTTGTGAATAAGTGTATAAAAGTATAGTGTAATGTCTGAATTTTTTGCATGAATTTTAACTACTCTGGAAAAATTTAACTGTGTTTAGTGCAACCAGTCACTTAAAATATATTCATGTATAAGCTGACTTCATGTATAGTACAATGGCTGAATTTTTGCATGAATTTTAAACCCACCAGAAAAATTTACTTGTGTATAGTGGAACTGTTCCCTTAAAATGTAGAAGTTTTAAACTCTTGAAAACAAAATTACCTGCATATAATGTGACCCCTAATTTTTGCATCAAAAACTGATCATAAAAACCTGCACTATACTCAAATACATATGGTAGATGTTGAGAAAAATTTGTAGTACTTTTTATTAAAAAACTGTTTTTTTTATCTTATTTAATTAGTCTCTAGTTTTTAATAAAAATAGGTTGTTGCACACACCTAACATTTTTTTTTTTTTTTATCAAGATAGCTTTTAGGTTAGTATGGGGTAGTTAATATGTTTTAATACTGAGTTTTATGCTTATTATTTTTCTATGGTTGTTAGTAAACAGTATGGATTAGAAATCAAAATAATGTCTCCAGTAAGATGCAAATTATTATTTTTGATCTTTGAGAAATCTGTCTTAGTTTGACATTTATTATATTTTTTTGAGTTTCACCAGAGTTTTATTCCTTATTTTTTTATTTCTGCAGTTTACTAAAAACTGTAAAATAATAGCAGTTATGTTAAAAGTGACTGAAGTTAACATGAAAAAATACAAGTTGAAAATTAATTAATTTATTATAATAAATTCAAAATTTTTTTTTATTTCTCATTGAAACAGACAGCAATTAGCTGATTTTTATCTCAATAAATATTTAACAAACTTGCTAGTGTACAAATAGACTGTTGCCAGAAATAAGACTTTGTCAAAACTTGAAATGTATGATAAACTTATCTACCTGTAATAGAAAAAGATTCTGTGAGAAAATCCTTGTAAATTGAAGCCCTGAATTTTTTGTTTTTTCTTGGCTTATATAACATTTAAAAAATAGTGTACCAGGATTTGTGAGTGAGTTCTCACCCTATTTGTGTGAATATGTGCATACCTAGCAAGAATCAACCAATTATGTTGTTGATTGGAAAAATATAAAAAAGCACAGAGAGAATGTATAAAAATTCCACATAAAATCATTTCATGATAAAATCATAAAGCACATACACATTGATTTTTATGTATTACATTCTTCTGATATGATTTATATATACATGTGTATGTGTGCATGGCCATGAATATTTTGCATGCACACATGCATTATATATACATACACACACACACACACACACACACATATATATATATATATATATGTACAGTGTAACCCGGATATAAGAGAGTTGTCGGGACCGGGGAAGAAGTCTCTTATATCCGGGTTTCTCTTATATCCGGGTTTGGTCTATTTTATATACATTAACACAGGCTCTAATTTGGGACCAGAGAAAATCTCTCTTATATCCGGGTTTCTCTTATATCCGGGTTACACTGTATATATATATATATATATATATATATATATATATATATATCTCAATTTATTGTATAATAAAACAAATAAAAATGCTATAATAAGAAATATTTGAATATTCAATATTTCTGATTTCTCGTGGACACTCAGTTTGTTATAGTCATCTCACAATGTACAAGTGGTTCAAGGACAAAATACTCTATTCTATAATAAAAATTAAAGTAAATATAGAATTAAGTATCTTGCCTTTGAACTACCTGAAGAGTGTGAGACTGGCATATAACAAACTGAATGGCCACATGAAACTTTAAATTGTAGAAAAGCAGAAATATTTGATTATTGTTTTCTATATATATCTTATATATACATACATATATATATTGTAATATATATAAAACTTCATTAATACTTTTGTAGCTAAATGAAGAAAAACAAAACAACAAAAACTTATTTTTCTGCATAATATTCTTTGTTAATGCACTTAATTCAGCACTGAATATTATTGTATAGATCCAACATTATACAGTGAAAATTTCAGATGAAAATTCAGCTAAAATTTGAGTGTGGACTAATTGATCACCTTTCCTATATACATGTGTACCTGTATATATATTTTTGCAGAATATATAAATGTATGTACTTTATATACATGCATATATATATATATATATATATATATATATATATATATATATATATATATATATATTTATGTATGTATGTATGTAGGTAAAGTTTAATAAACATACCTATAAAAAAAACTGTGTCAAAGTACAGCATTCTCTTGACACCACTATTAATGTATACTCCCCTGGGAATTTTTATTTTATTAAAACCTATTTTTAGAATTTTAATAAAACCCAAACATAAGAAAGTAGATTCACACAATTTTTTTCAAGGTTCTCAACCTATTTTATTGCATTTATGAAAATGCATTTTTTTTTCAAAATTTATATTTAAACTTACTTATTATGTGTTTATTTCAATTTTTCTTATTCTATAGTTCAGACATTTTTATAAATTTATGAGTAACAATTGTTTTCATAGTTATTTCTTTATAATATGGTAAATAATAAACATTGCATTGCAGTTCGTTCACATATGAAGTAAACATAAATTAATTGTTGTAAATAAACAGCCTAATAAATACATACTTTAATTAATTTGTTGTCAATTCTCAAGAAAAGAGAAAATGCTTAAACTCAATTTATTAAAATTCCACAAACATCTTTTTAAAACAATAAAAATTGCTGTGATATTATACAGGATTAGTAGCAGTGTCAAGAGAAAACACGCTGTTTTTTTGTGGGTACATATATATAACTTTGCTTATATATATATATATATATATCAGGCACAGTGGATAAAGGCATTGGTTGGATCCTGTGACAGGACCCAAAGAGTGTGAGTTCAATACCCGGTTAAGGCAGTGGAGAACTTTCAGAGGGAAATTAGCAGGAGATAACTGATAACTGACATCCATCAAACATGGCACGTGGAACTAGAACAGTCTACCCCAGTGAGTGAAATAAAGGGTTCAGTTCAAAATTCCAACCACCGGAGGAAGGCCGGAGTGTACAACGGCCGAAACGTTGTGATAAATATGGTCACAAAGATGAGGACAATAGTCCAAATAATGTAAATAATTTACATAATACCTCATCTGAGAAATATAGACAGACTCTGATAGAAATTTCTGTATCACAATGGAATCATACTTTTAGAAAAGAAAATAATTATAATAATTATATATATATATATATATATATATATATATATATATATATATATATATATTTTTTTTTTTACAATTGGAATTAAGATACCTAAAGAAAATTTGCTCTGTTTAATGAAAATAAACATTGAGCACTCTTTTTGTGAGTCAGTTTTAACATATTTCAAATTCTATGTTGTGTTAATAGGACTCGCCTGGATTATACCAATGGATTACTACCTATATATATATATATATATATATATATATATATATATATATATATATATATTTATTCAAATTTATGACATATGCATGTTATGAAATCACTACAAAATTTGCAGTTTTGTTTCAAAACTTCTGGTGTCTTGTCAAGTGATAATGTTGAGTGGAAAATAAACAATTTTAAGATTTCAAAAGACGACCAAACCCACTCAATAGGGGAAACTTTATTACGTAAGCTATGATGACCAATCAGAATACAAGTATATGGTAATTTAAAATAACATGACAACATACTCTAGTATAAGTACAATCAATTAGTGGAATAAAGTTAAGATTAGATTAAATTAGAAATCAATGTAAAAATTAAATTTTAAGTTAACAGTTAAATTTAAAAATAGAAATTAAAAATTTCAAATGTCAAATTCTAAAATGCCAATTTATCAGTTAAGTTCAACGCTGATGAAAATAGTTTCTTCAACCGCTGCGCATATTTGATACATGGAAGTCTGAATTCAAATAAAGAGGTAGATAGGGAAGGGAATTTTCAAGTGGCAGGACAAACACATTCACATCATAATACACAAACATATATATAAGCAAATATATGAGCATGCCAATACAAGGACGTATATTCACAAAGGAAAGAGAGGAAGGAAAAATAAAAAAATAAAAATAAAGAAGAAAATAAAGAAGAAAATAAGAAGAAAAATGAAGACAGACATACAAATAAAAAAACCCACATAAAAGAAAATTATGTCAGACAAATGTCGATTCAGGTAAAAGCATACACAAACAATCCCACACATATAAATATATGAATAAAGGGCACCTCGGCATGACGTAATGGTTAGCAAGCTTGTCTCACTAGAACATTTACAACTGAGTAGTGAGTTTGATCCTCATTGGGTGTCCCATACCTTCGGCCTTGTGCCACATCTAAGCTATGCTTAGAAAATCAATATAAATATATGAATAATCAGACTCACCAAAGTTCAAGCATAAACGCACTAATAAATCTACACAAACCAACCATCAATATTTTACATACACAAACAAACATATAGATGAAAAGAGGATCAAATAAAAGTAAGAAGTGAATATATACATGTGTATGAATGATGCATACACATACGTAGTTGAAATACATGTATTGGCTATAGACAAAGCAAAGAAAAAAGACATATATACATACACACACACATATACATACATATACATAAATACGGAAAACCAAACTTACATGTGCAAACAAAATAAAATATGCACACAAATAAAACACCCATATGTATACAAATATAAATATACATGTACCCACATATACACAATTGTATGC